AGGCATCACTTTCATCCAAAATCGTCACATTTTCAAAATTATCAATTCTCGAATCTGTGGGCCAACAAATATTCTTTCCTTTAATTTTGGCATCACACATCTTGGGATATCTTATCTACAAGATACTTAAAACAAGCACCATTTTTGTTAAGCGCCTTTACGAACTGCTTCATTATTCCTAATTTGATATGAAGTACAAGGCAAGTACGAGTAGGCCAATTCTTTTTAACATAGTGCTGTTCCCTATTCCATAAATATATAAATCATGAGTATTTTGTAAAACCCGACGGTTATCTAAGAAGCATATCAATAATATTCAAATCTCCATGATTCTTTTATGTGTACGGAATGAGCAATAAGTAAGAAAGCGTATTTATTGGAATTATGCAGCAAAACTGCTTTCAAACTGCTCTTATTGTTAGAGGAATCAATAAATAACCTCCAATTAGCAGAATTATATAACAGTCCACATTTTTGCACAAGGTCACAGACATCATTACAATAAATAGCTACCATCTTCAAAGAAGAACTCAATAAATGATTTCTCTCGATGTCTGTACCAAGAGAAGGTAGTTCCAGGAGCAAGGTGATTTGTCTCTTTTAGTTGTGAACCTAGCAGTTCATATTTATCTAGAGGTAAACCTAAATCCTTGACCAAATGATTTAGTACATCCTGATAGAAAGGACAGAAAATTAGAATTAAATTCTCGAAGATCTCAGTTTTCTTCTCCAAATTTGGTGGGATGTTGGAATATTGTCAGATTCAAAATTGGTTTCGTAATACTTGGTATATTCGGATACTTAATATTATGACAATTTTTAGAATTAAAACTGACCGTTTTAGTTAAACAAAAATAGCAGAAACTGACAAAAACACAGACTGAAAGGTTCACCAAAAGATTGGTGTTCTGAAAGGCATTGTTGTAATTGTACTCTTGGTCTCAACACATGATATACAAGCTACATATGGAGCACAAAATTTATCTTGATTAGAAATTGCTATCTTGAAGTAATTTTGGTAAAACATTTTGACATTATCATTAATATAAATTTTTTGCTTGGCAAACGTAAAACGACCGCAAATGTAACAAAAACTGTCAGGATCATTCATACACTTTCGGGAGTTCATAGTGAAGAAGAAATACCGTGAGAGCGGCCGATCAAAACATGTGAAGAAAATTTACCGCAAATATAGACAAATATGGCTGATAATCATACTCATACAGCGTTCAGTGTTCAACTTCAAGGGTCATAACTTATGAAGGAAAAACAATATAGCATCGTCCAACAGCGCATTTTGAAGGGCAAAGATAGTACTGAATCATATTATAAACAGAATAGGGCCTCAAATATCTTAAAATCCTGATGTGATGGTGCAATTCACAGCTTGGAGTATGATTCTACGCAGAAAATTACTTCGGCAACGAGTCTCAACTGACCGGCAACAATCGTGTTTCGGTCGGGAGTGAGGGAATACAAAAAGTAGTCCGTGCTACCCATTGAAAACCTTCAGGGTATTTCTTCGTATGTCAACTATCTTTGTTACGTCACATATAGGAATCGTCATCGAAATGATCGTTAATAAAATCTCAATTCAACCGTCGTCATATCCAAGGTTTGCAAGAGAAAACCAAATACTCGAGGTTACTTTTATTTCAATTAAAATTGTCTTAACTTACAGATTTCCTCCGTCTTCGGCCTTCAACTGTAGCTGCGCCCAACGGCCCAACTTCAGGATCGTAACCGCTTGTATACGATAAACAAAATAAAATATTCGTCGTTACTTTTATATACAGTATGTCCCCGGATCGAGTTACAAAGAGGAAAAAAATTTTTGTTACTGATTTTTCAAACTTATCTCAGCATAAATAATGCGTGGGATATGTTCAAACCACTAAATCGCACGAACTTTATATTTTAACTATAGAAGATAACTAATTATTCCCATTTTTATGTAAAAATTATAGTTTTCCAAAATTAAAAATTTTTCAAGTTCAATTTACGATATATAACCATAGAATATAGAATTGAATAAAATATTTTAAATGTAAATTTATGTAATAACACACTATGTAAGTAATAAATATTATTTATTTGTAAGTGAACAAATCCTCATTCAAATAAATTCCCTCCCAATTCGGCACACATTTGAAGACGAGTTCTAAATTCTTTATAAGAAGTACGAATTTCCGCCAGTGGTAGAGATTCTATCGCTTTATTTATAATTATTATTCTTAGTTTTAATAGTTCTGCATCATCTTGTAATGGTTCACTGTAAACAATTGGTTTCAGTCGTCCCCAAAAATAAAAATCCATAATTGTAAAATCAGAACTACGCGCTGGCCATCAAATAGGACCATTTTGTTCAATCCATTTTTGACGAAATTGTAAATTTAACCATTTGGCACAATGTATGAATGGTAAGCTGGGCAACTGCCTTGCTGAAAATACATACATTGACCGTATAAAATTTAAGGGTAATTGCATTTACATCGCTCCAATAACGACAATGCTGGGAAGAAACAATGTCATTTGTAGAAAAGCTATCTGAAAAGCAGCGTCTTCCTCGTTTAGTCTCTTGTCTGCCTCTTTATGGATAATACAGAACCCGTTTCCAAAAATTTTTTCATAAGTTTGCGAGCCTCAACATGAGATATTTTTGTGTCCGGATATTTTTGCTGGAATTTTTGTATAACTACACGAAAACATGATTCACTAGTACCATAGCACAGTACTAAATAAATTCTCTCTTTCACGGTTAACATCGCATGAAAAGACTTAATCTCACCAACATAAGTTGTAACTTTTATGGTTTCTATGGTTACATGACATAAATTGAACTTGAAAAATTTTCAATTTAGAAGAAAGTCCAATTTTTACATAAAAATTGGAATAATTAGTTAATTTTTATAGCTAGAGTATAAAATTCATGCGATTTAGTAGTTTGAATATATCTGACGCATTATTTATGCTGAGATAGGTTTGAAAAATCAGTAACAAAAATTTTTTTCCTCTTTGTAACTCGATCCGGGGACATACTGTAGAATAGAATAATCTCGACAACTTATAGGGGTGGAAGGGTGGCTCGTCGTTCGTTTACACCAAGAATTAATCAACAATTGCCACTACCGCATCCAGTTCTATCTTTTTCGTCTTGAGAACCACGGCCACATATGCACTTACTGCTTCTCACATGGGCTTCTCGCTCAGCATAGTACAGTTTCAGGTGTGGTTGATCTAACAGCGTCGAACAGTATTTCCTTTATGTCGTTCCATCTCCGGCAGTAGAAAAAGTTCAGCGTCATCTGCATATTGACATATCGGGTAGTTTGTTTTACCTATAGTATGGAGGTACTTGCCAAAATATCCGTTTCTGGTAAGAAACTGAGTCTTGTAGAGGTTTACTTCTCCGTAATGTCTGTCCAGCCATGCGGAGGCATGCTGTCCTGCTTTTTCACTTTTCTTGCTGCTATCGGCTCAACCAAGCTTGACGAATCTCTGACCTGATGTTAACCATTTCTGATCTTGGCCTATTTTAGTTTCGTCGACTCTCTGTAGCAAATCAATCGGGGCTAACAGGCGCCTCCACCCAGTCAGTCCCTCACTTTCTAACCAGACCTCGCTTCCATACAATAAAATAGACTGAACAACCTCCATTAACAGTTTTCGCGTTAAAGTTGTTGGTTCCTCAACGTTTGTCATGATCTCAGATAGGGACAGACACCGCCTGTATCTGATGTAGATACACAGATTAAGACATTTTACAATCTATAGCCGATCTCTAGGGGTATATCTAACGGTACCCTTCTTCTCGTCAAGAAGACGAGATCACCCTATTGATTTTTATTTGCAACTCAGGCAGCTCTTTAGCCGTGATGACGGCGGCAAGATCGTCGGCGTATCCCTACAAGTAAGTGTACTCAGACATTGGGCTTCTTATTACACCATCATAGAAGTTGTTCCAAAGCTCCGGCCCAAGAATCGAGCCCTACTCCACGCCGCACGTCATCTCCTGCATCGTTGGCCCTCACCAGTATTGTACACGATGATTCTATCTTTTAGATAGTCTTCCAGGAACATAAAACATAAAAAATATTTATGATTATGATGATGGTGATGTTCAAGTTGATGATATAAAGCGTAAAGAAGTTTGTGTTGATGTAAATAACTAATCACAACTTTGTATCTTTGTCCGGGTAAATCATGTAAACTCACAAGACGAAACTGCGAGACGGAACTCCTATTTCACAAACACAATATATCCGCCGTTTTTTATATTTCTTTCTATCATATTGTTCTTGGTACCGAATTTGTTCTTTCCCAATATCTCGCCTACAGATGTGGCACCTCTGCGTGAAATTGTGCATATTTGCATTGATATACGACCTTGGTGATTAGAAAATAAATTATTAGACCATATGATCTTATATCGACATGACATAGATGTAGCACCTCGTTCGCGAGCCACCTCGGCTTCGGATCGATATAAGGTCCCAACCGCAAGCGACGTCGGCTTAATTAAAACGTACATTCTTTAAAACTGTGTATTTTCATTGATTTGGATTCGATGTAGCGCCTCGGCCGCAAGTGACCTCGGCTTAATTCTAAAATAAATTCTTAAAGATTGTGTAGCTTACATTGATTTTGGTTCGATGTAGCGCCTCGGCCGCAAGCGACCTCGGCTTAATTACAAAATAAATGATTAAGAACCGTGCAATCTTATATCGATATATGGATGTAGCGCCTCGCCCACAAGCGACCCCGTCTTAATTATGACATACATTCTTTAAAATTGTGTAGTTTACATTGATTTGGGTTCGATGTAGCGCCTTATTCTCGGCTTAATTCTAAAATAAATTCTTAAAGACTGTGTAGTTTAGTAGCACGTGATCTCGACTTAATTATAATATACGACATATAGTGATCGTTTAGTTATCAAGAACTCTTTTGTATTTATAAATAAAGTTACATTTTATTGAAAATTTGGTCTACATTAATTAATAAAATAAGGAATATTAATGATGATGATGATGGTGGTGATGGTGATGTTCAGATTGATGATATAAAGCGTAAAGAGCTTTGTGTTGATGTAAATAATTAACTACAGCTTCGTATCGTTGTCCGGATAAATCGCGTAAACGTACGAGGCGAATTTGTAAGGTGTGTTGCCAAAATCTAAGATCATTCATTTCTTTAAAGTAAGTTTCTTCTTCTAATAAGCTCACATTGTCTAAATTATCACTGTACCATTGCTGTTTTTGTTGCAGTGTATTAGATGTTCTTTCAAATTGATGTTGAATATCCATAGCTCTATCAACCATTAATTTTTTGAAATCATTCAAGCATTGTTGTTCGATTTGGAACGCTTTGTTTCTATTTAAAATTTTTCCTTTAGGAGCGTGAGCTTTAACCAAATACATTCCCAAGAAATCGATTTCTTCCTCAACCTCTTTCTCGCGGCTTTCTTTTTTCTTCAACTCTCTTTCTAACATTCCCTTTCTATACTCAACGTTTTGCTCCCTGTTAAATAATGAAACATCCAATTTCGGCACGGCTCTTTCATATGCGCGAAGTTTCAACCATTCCGAGATTAAATCTTCAGTTTCTCGAACTTGTCTCAACGCCTCTGTTTCAGCGTTTATTTGCTGTTGTAATAATTTGAATAGGGTAAGTTGTCGCGGGGGTGGGGCTCCAATTTCCGCTTGATAACCACTTGTTAACGCCGGATCAAACGTTAATCGATCCGCCATTTCAGCCATGGGAGGTTTTATAAATATTCTTGTCGAAGCTGTCACTTTACCTTCGCCATAATGATATTTTAATCGAATTTCTTTTGCTAATATATCAAATTCTCTGCACGCGATATCATCAGATGCCTCTTTTGTGGAATCTCTATCAAATTTTTCAGTTATGAATGTTATGATTCTTCTTGGGCCTTCTATAAATCCAACTGGTGGTTGTCCTCTTTTAGCGTATACTACATGACGATAAGTGAGTCTAAAATGAAATGAAATTCGTAAAATGAGAAAGAATAATAGTTTTAGCAAATGAAGTATACATTTATGTAAAATAATTTTTTAAGGTGTGTGCTTTCAGTATCTTTCTTTTAAAATAAATGTTTTTCTGAAGTATCGACGACTAACTAAGGTTACTCTAGATTCCCTGCCTTACGTTATGCCAAGGTTGCTTGCCGCCTACACGTTGCAGTATAAACTCGACTTAATCAAGAGAAGTCAAAGATTGTCCGCCCTGAGTTCCACCAAGATTACCAGCGATGATGATTGAGTGCCAAGATATCAAATATAACGTCTCCTATTCAATGTCAGTTGAAGTCATAAAATGTTGCTTGCCTCCTGTGTGTTGCAACATCTTGACCTGTTAATATGCGAAATCCACTTAATCAAACGAAATGAAACATTTTTACCACATCCAAGATGACCCACTCTCGGCATAATGAACACGTTCTAAACATTTATATACATGAAACTTGTTATTATCAACTGATTTGTCAATGAGACGTCCAGCAAGTGGATTTTGTTCTTCAGGATGGTCCAATTTTAATCTAACCGCCGTGCTGTTTACAAGATACCGAGATGGAGAAGTATTTGGGTGCCAAAAGTGAGTAAAGAAAAGTGAATCACCTTTGCGATCTGTATGATTTTGTGTGTGTATCGATGCTGAGAGCAGTGCAGAAAACTTCCATTAGGATATCTTATCTGTCAAGAAAATATTTGAAAAAATCAGATTTACTTTGAAACTCTGGAGTTGTACCAGTCAAAACAACCAGAATATCGTAAAGGTGTCAGAATAAAGTACTCAAAGGAAGTAGTAACGCCCCATAGTACATTCTAAATATAACAATCTGGAACCTAATACTGGAAACTGTTGACAACGTTATCAAAGAATATGTCAGGACACACAAATAGAGGTTACATCAACATATCAACATCGAAGCTCTCCAGCTCTTGGGTAACGATGATTTAGTGTGAAACCATTTGAATGAATGTGGTAGTGTTCAAGGCTGTTTTGAAAATAAGAATGGCTAAACCAAAGCAAAGCGACTATCATAGGTTAAGTTCTTTTTTATGTAACCCTAGTAGATTAAGTTAAAAATTAGTGTTAATTTACTAGATTATTGTAATATTTCATTAAAACAAGTATTGACATGAGTATTTACTCTTCCTACAGTTTTTAGATTTCTGCCAGCAGTGCTAGTCATGTATTAATTATGACTAGCAGCAGAAAGTCTTCTGCACGTAATATTTAGTCTTCTGGCAGCATCCAGTCATTCAGCCAACAGTATCTACAAAACTATACTATCTTAATACAAAGTTTGTATTTGAACTTCTTCGTCCTCCATATCAGCACTAAATTGAGATACTCTTGTGTACTGAGGTTCAGCAACGAGTAAATGCTGCCAATTTTTGACAATTGTGAGATCATAACTCGTTTTCGATTCCGCAATAAAGAGGTGAATTAGTCTCGTGTCGTATACCAGTGCGCGGTTCAATAAAAAACGGTTCTTCGATTTCTCTTTTTCCAAGCCGTATCAAAACTCAAGCGTTAATCCTAAATCCGTGTAGCTCATCGTACGGTGGTTTTCCTGCTCTTCAATTTGCCTTTGTTTCTCTTCTTCAATCAATAGTTTCTCTTCGTTTGCTTTATTAATTTCCCGTTGTTTCATCATCAAAAGAAATTTACTTCGAAGAACACGTGGCGGTTTTAAAACATACTTAGTATAGTAGTATCAGTTACTTCCTCTAAGACTTCTTCCACTTTTTCCACAATCTCAGGGTATGGAGGAAAACTTCCATTAGGAATTACCACATTAGCATATTTCCCATATGTTATCTGTTAAAAAAAAATGGAAAAAATCAGATTTAAGTACAACAAAATATACTGGCTATTGAGCAGATATTCAGTTTTGACAGTATACAATAAATTCTCAAATCAGTGTGAACGTATAGGTTTCAACTGTAGAGTTGTACCAGTCAAAGCAACCAAAATATCGTAAAGATGTCAGATTCAATCAATCGTTTCTCTTCGTTTGCTTTATCAATTTCCCGTTGTTCCATCATCAAAAGAAATTTACGTTGAAGAATCAGTTACTTCCTATAAGACTTCTTCCACTTTTGCCACAATCTCAGGGTAGGGAGGAAAACTTCCATTAGGAATTACCATATTAGCATACTTCCCATATGTTATCTGTTAAGAAAAAGTTTGAAAAAATCAGATTTAAGTACAACAAAATGTACTGGCTATTGAGCAGATATTCAGTTTTGACAGTATACAACAAATTCTCAAATCAGTGTGAACTTATGGGTTTCAACTGCAGAGTTGTACCAGTCAAAACAACCAAAATATCGTAAAGGTGTCAGAATAAAGTACTCAAATGAATTGGTAACGCCCAATAGTATGTTCTAAATACAACAATCTGGGACCTAATACTGGAAACTGCTGATAACGTTATCAAAGAATATGTCAGGACACGCGAACAGAGGTTACATCAACATATCAACATTGAAGCGCTCCAGCTCTTGGGTAACGATGGTTTACTGTGAAACCATTTGAATAAATGTGGTAGCGATCAAGGCAATTTTGGATATAAGAATGGCTGAACCAAAGCAAAGCGACTATCGTAGGATAAGTTCTTGGTTATGTAACCGTAGTAGATTAAGTTAGAAACAAATAACTCATTAGTGTTAATTTACTAGATTATTATAATATTTCATTAAGAAAAGTATTGGTATGAATATTTACTCTTCTTGCAATTTTTAGATTTCTGCCAGTAGTGCCAGTCATCTATTAGTTATGACTAACAGCATCAAGCAGCAGAAAATCTTCTGCAAGTAATATCTAGTCTTCTGGCAGCATCCAGTCATTCAGCCAACAGTATCTACAAAACTATACTATCTTGATACAAAGTTCGTATTTGAACTTCTTCGTCCTCCATATCCGCAGTAAATTGAGATACTCTTGTGTACTGAGGTTCAGCAACGAGTAAATGCTTATAATAACGAGTATTTACTCTTCCTGCAGTTTTTGGATATCCGGCAAGCAATCCCAGTCATCTATTAGTTATCTGTCAATCATCAAGCAGCAGAAAATCTTTTGCAAGGAGTATTTAGTCGTCTGGCACAATGTGTTTTTTTTTTCAGTCCTTTTCAACAGTGTCTAGTCTTGTCCTATCAGTATCTAGTTTTCTGGCAGCAATACTAATTTTTTGCTAACAATATCTAGTTTTTTGTAAAAGGTAAGTTCACAGTAGGTAGCTTGCTATTAGTAGTTACTAGACTTCTGCAAGCAATAATAGCCTTCTGCAAGCAGTATATAAATGTTTATCAGTATCATCTAAGTCCATTGGGAGTGTTATTTTTCTATCAGCAGTATTTAGTGTTCTGCCAGCAGTATCTCGTCTTTTGAAAGGAGTATGTAGTTTCTAAAAGTAGTATCTAGCCTTCTAGTAACAATAAAAATATTTCAATACAACATGTTTCGAAATCTAGGAGATTTCTTCTTCAAGCATATAGTATATAATAGAAAAATTACAATTTTATTTTGATTTTAACGTAACTTTCTAATTGTTGCTAATTTTCGATTTTGTCTTTCCATTGCTCATTACTCTTTTGCCGGAAAGTTTTTCGATTTTATACAACTAGTTTTTTATGGTTTGTGTGAGTGCTCCACAAATAATATAACACGTGCTTTGGAAATTTTTCGCTGATTCTTTAAAAGTTTTTCGGTTTCTGCTGCCGTATAATCGTTTTTTCAAATATTATGAATTTTTCTATTATTTTAAGAACCATATGCCTCTGTTAGTGACATCATGCCTGGAGAAGAAATCTCCTAGATTTCAAAACATGTTCCACTGAAATTCAGTAAAGAAATATAATTACTCGTTTTTTCTTTTATTATTCATATTTAACTATAACGATGTTAGCTATAACCATTTTCAAGATTCTATTAACAGTAACTAGTGTTCTGCAAGCAATAAATAGTCTTCTGCGATCAGTGTATAAACTTTTATTAGTCGTATATTTGTCCATTGGCAGTATTATTTTTCTGTCAGCAGTGTTTTGTGTCATGTCAGCTTTGTTTCTAGTCTTCCGCCACTAATACTAACTTTCTGTTAGCAGTATCTAGTCTATTGAAAGGAATATGTAGTTTCTACAAGAAGTATCTAGTCTTCTATTAGCACTATCTAGTTTTTTTAACAGCAGATACTGTCTTTTTTCAGCAGTACTACACATCTATCAGCCATAATATACATTTGCCAGTATTATCTAGTTTTCTGCAAACCGTATCTAATCTTCTATTAGCAGTATCTAGTTTTCTTCCAGCAGTTCTAGATATTTTCAGCCATAATATACTTTCGCCAGTATTATCTAGTTTTCTGCAAGCCATATCGAGTCTTCCTTTAGCACTATTTAGTCATCTTCCAGCAGTACTAGAGTATTGAAACCAGCAGAGATATAAAAATAAATAATTAAGCAAATTTTTATGCAACATTTAAAATGTATACTTCATTTATAGCCATAATGTATTAAAAGAAATATTATATTAATTACTTATCCTCTCTCCCTTCGTAATGTTCGATCATAAACAAAGGATCCAGTTCGATTTTGGACATAGAATCAAAACGGTTTTCACTATAATATTCAATAACCCGTGGTGATTCTAACTTATTATCAATATTATTATAAATATGTCTTTTGATTGCATCTTCGCGTCCCTTCAAAAAATAAACATCTCTTCCTGCTGTGCTGGGATAATTAAGTCTTCTCAACATTTTATCGTGTCTGTTATAAAATCTTTCTTCCATCACATACAATTGACTTGGAGAACATTCTAAGTCGTGATATCTTGAAACTCTTTGTACCGTGCCATCAAACATAATGTAAGGAGCAAATTCATCGACGATGACTCGTTTATACCACATTGTTCTCTTTCCACCTGGATATCTTGTTTGTATAACTAAAATAGGAATAAAATAAGTTAAAGAGAATACTAAGAAATTCTTTTTTGTAACCTTCATGGGGTATATTAATTTTGCTACCCCAAGGTGCTGGCATATCAAGATGTTTCTCTTGATACAAAGTTTGTATTTGAACTTCTTCGTCCTCCATATCAGCACTAAATTGAGATACTCTTGTGTAGTGAGGTTCAGCAACGAGTAAATGCTCCCAATTTTTGACAATTGTGAGATCAAAACTCATTTCTTCCGTTCCTGTGGAGCAATCCTGCATGTTGATCCAATAGTTTTCGTTGTTCCAAACGCTTTCGATTCCGCAATAAAGAGGCGAATTAGTCTCGTGGCGTATACCAGTGCTCGGTTCAATAAAAAACGGTTCTTCGATTTCTCTTTTTCCAGGTTGGATCAAAACCCAAGCGTGAACCCTAAATCCGTGGAGCTCATCGTACGGTGGTTGTTCCTGCTCTTCAATTTGTCTTTGTTTTTCTTCTTCAATCAATCGTTTCTCTTCGTTTGCTTTATCAATTTCCCGTTGTTCCATCATCAAAAGAAATTTACTTCGAAGATCACGAGGCGGTTTCAAAACATACTTAGTGTCAGTTACTTCCTCTACGACTTCTTCCACTTTTTCCACAATCTCAGGGTATGGTGAATCGACCCTCATCGTTATTTTTAAGGTTACATCGCGTTTTGCATAACCGGAAACTACGTATGCATCGTAATTTAAACCAATAAGTAGGGAGCATAAAGCAGTTGCTATGTCGAAAGATGATCCTGATTTTCGAAGGAAAACTGTGTGTGGAGAGAATAGTCGAGGTGGCTAGAAAAAAACGAAAATAAATTGTATTAATAAAGCTAAGATTCAATAAATAAAAAAATTAAATTAATTAACGAAAAGGATAAACCTTTTTGCAACTGTTTACAAGAAACACTCACAAAATATCTTCATCAATCGATACTTGCACGGATAAAGACACATGGCTCAAAGAATGGTGTGTATTCAACACAGAAAGTCGCACCTTCATTTTACCTGCATAAAGAAATAAAGGCGCGACGTCCAGTCTGGAACATGCACTAGCAAGATTGAACAAAATCCTCCTCTCTCCACATGGCTTATTTCTGTTTCTCTTTAATTTATAATTCGGTCAATCGTTCTAAAAAACCGCATTACCGCGAATCTACATGGAATATCGAAAAAATAAAATATGTCCCTCATTAAGAACACTTCAGGCTACCACTTGTTCAAAGTTGAAATTTGTTCGTCAGATAGTTTTAGCCGAACATTTTCAAATTCATACATGTTACATAGAAATGTTCAGTGATTGCAACACACTTTACCACAATTTGTTTCATAGAGCGGTTGCGGGGATATCGATCTCTAAACTACGGCGCCTTTTGACTTTTGGCACGGATAATAGATACTGCTTGAACTTGTAGATACCGCGGTAAGTAGATTTGCTTGTTGCAGAACTTCAAATTACTTGCAGAAGACTACACACTACTGATAGATTAGACACTGCGAGCAGAGGACTATATACTGCTAAAACTAGACTAGACGACACTGGGAATAGAAGTCTATAGGTATATTGCTTGTAAAATACTAGATGCTACTCACAGAAGACAGGTACTGAAGTCAGAAAAAGAAAACTGCTGGCAGTAGTTCGAAGTCTCAAACTCAGTCTGAAACTCACTTCGAACCAGTTTCTGAAAAAGGTTTTAACATGGCATCCGAAACGTCAAACCTTTTCTTAAAAGACGCACGGCCAAACTCGAAAGTTTCTAGTGTTAGTTCTAATTTTAGTTCAATTAACTCCCGCCGTGAAAGCCTTCGTAGCTAGAATACTAGAACACTAGATGTTGCTGGAATAAGGGTAAATTATGCTGACAAAAGACAAGACACTGCTAATGAAAGACTAGATGCTGCAATACATGACTTACTGCTGCCAGAAGATTACATACTGCTGACAGAGGAATAGATTCTGCTTCTGCAGGATAGATACTCTTGAAAGAAGACTAGATGCTGTTGGAACAAGACTAGATACTGCTAGCAAAGGACTAGATATTACAAAAACTAGCTAGACACTGGTAATAGAAGTCTATATGTGTGTTGCAGAAGAAATGTTACTCTAAGAAGATTGGCACTAGTAGGTAGAAAAATCGTAGAGCTACCAAAAGACATGATACTGCTAATAGACTCTATATACTATGTAGATAAGACTACCTATTGTCTGTAAAGACATAGATACTCTGCTACCTGTATCTGCCCAGTTCCCAAGCCTAATACTGCTGGTAGAAGATTGGATACTGCTAATGGAAGACAATATACTGTCACAGATGACTACCTGCTATGTCCAGAAGATTAGATACTGTTGACGGAACCTTAGATAGTACTTTTAGTAGAATAAAAACCACTAGATACTGCTGGAACAAGACTAGATATTACAAAAATTAAACGGCACACTGGTAATAGAAGTGTATATAGGTGTGCCATATCTTCCGCATCCGAGCATTATACGATTGAAGGATAAATTATTCTGAAGCAATACAGCACCTACAGTCGGTCCACCGCGCCGTTCTAGACTCGTTTCGCACGTGTTTATTTCTTTTTCCGTAAATCGCTATTGGACGACTTTAAACAGTTCCCGTGTGGTTATTATAAACGTTTCGAAACATTTTTATTAGAAAAACCGCTTCAGGATAATGTATCCTTCAACCTGTATCCTAATGCTCTGATGCGGAAGATATGAGACACCTGTATATTTCTTACAGAAGACTAAATACTACTGGACGAAGACTGATACTGTAGATAGAAGAATAGTACTGCTGGCAGAAAACCAGATATTAGTGGAAGAAGTGTAAATATCCCTGGTAAACAACTAGTCATTGCTACCGGAAGACTAGATAGGTATTAATGTAGTACTGTTGGCAGAAGACTCTGCTGATACTGTTAATAGAACTCTATATACTGCTTGCAGAAAATTATCTGCTGTTTAAAGGAAAGTGCTAGCAGAGGTCCAATACTGTTGACAGAAGTCCAATACTGTTGGCAAAAGTCTAATACTGCTGGTAGAAGTGTAATACTCCTGGTAGAAGTAGAGAAACTACAAGCAGACGAGTTACTCCTAGAAGAAAACGTTGGAAGAAGACTAGATACCCACTGGCAGAGGACTAAATACTGATAATGCTAGCATAAATAACAGTAATAGAATTCTGCTTGCAAAAAACTAGATGTAACTTTCAACAAATTTGACTGTACTATAGGTAGAAGTCTAGTACGCTGGAAGAAGTCTTTATTGGAAGAATGTTAAATACTCCTGGCAAAGGATTAAATACTGTTAATAGACTCTATATACTTCTCCTGGAAGACTACTTATTGTTTGTATAAAACTAGATTCTTCTAGCAAAAGTCTAATACCGCTGACAGAAGTTCAATATTGCTGGTAAAAAAATATATACTGCTAATAGAAGAGTAGATACTACTAGATACTTTTATCACGATTACTGCCGTCTCGGTCAATATATGGCCGAGTCTATGTAGCCGAAAAAATATTTTTAATCACTTTTATTCACGTTTTTCGCATCTTACACACCAGATATTCAGCATCTAATAATTTGATCATGTAGACTGATGAAGACGGCCTAGTAGATGTGCTGCGTAGCGTTAGATTCTTGCGTACAAATTCAACAGCAAATAAATAGTAAATAAGAGCAAAAATACTTAGAAAATCAGTCTGTGTCCCATTTTCGATGTCGTGACATGTTTTTGTACCCCCAACATCGAAACAAAACCAACAGATCCTTACTATACAACTAATAACTAATTTCGCGTATGCCGGGAGTTGATCGCAATGGTGTAAAACATTATTTAATATTTCACACAGCGCTGACAAATATCTTTAGATGGATGATAAATACAGTAGAGCCTAGATAATCTGAACCGCAGTAATCCGAACGCCCAAAAAGCAAAAATTAAATTTCTTTTGTAAAAGTCATTTTTTTGTAAATTCTTTTGTATCCAATACTTGTGTTTTCAACTATTTAGCAGCAAAATTTGAAAATCCGAACCACCTTCGGTCCCAATTAGTTCGGATTAACGAGGCTCTACTGTATTTGAAAACTTTTGTTGTGGGTCTTCATAAGTTGCATGTATCTACCTTTGCGCATCAATTTTGTCCACACAGGAAATATGTCCTCGGTTCCGAACTCAAAATACGTTAAAAACATTCTGGCAGTGAACGTTTTAATAGACTGTATATACTGCTTTTAGAAGATTTAAACAATAGATATTGTTTACAGAATACTATATACTGCTGCTAGAGGTCCAATACTGCTATTGGAAGAATATACTGTTAATAGAAGAGTTGGTACTAGTTCCAGTCGACTAGTTTTGGAGTGACCATTCGGCGTTTGTGCCATTTTGGCTTGGCAGTGTCGCAAAATACTAGATTCTGCTTACAGAAGATTAGTACTATCAATGAAATACTAGATACTATGATTACATAAAATATATATAAATGTACAGGGTGTTTCACAATTGCACAGCACTATTTAGGGATGAATTCTTTAGGAGAAAATAAACAAAACAGTTCATATAAACATATGTTCCAAACTAATTTACCGAGATATTTAATGTTGAAGTATAATATCTGAAAAAAGTAAAACGTTTGAAGCGTTTTAGGGAACTGGCACGCTAAAACCTACACGAATAAGCTGGTCGATAAAGGTTTCGACGAACTGCTAACGCTGAAGAATTGATACTCGATGCTGTTCAATTATCTCCTAGTGCTAGTACCAGAAGATTGTCACTTCGCTTCGATGTTTTGAATACAACCGTATGGCGAAAATTGCGTGGGCAACAGTTGTATTCATATCACGTTACACATGTGCAAGATTTATTACCAGAAAATTATAACAAGGGCAGAAATTTCTGCCAGTGGTTAATTCGACAATGTACATGAAGTCCTAACTTCCTGAGCTGCCTCCTAGTTACTGACGAATCTTGTTTTACCAGACAAGGGATTATTAATTTTCGAAACACCCATACTTGGCACGAAGAAAACCTTATATGACTGCTTCTACTCATAACCAACATACTTTTTTCTTAAATGTCTGGTGAGGTCTTCTTGGTGACAATCTCATCGGCCCTTTCTTTTTGCCACTCGGGCTTTCCGGAATATCTTACTTGAATTTTTTGCAAAATAACTTGTATGAGCTCCTGGAAGACATTCGGCAGGGAACAAATTAAACTTTTTCATTTTCAACATCTCTTGAATAAATTAATTTGAAACATATATTTATATGAACTTTTTGTTTATTTTGCGCTGAAGAATACATCCCTAAAATAGTGCCGTGCAATTCTGAAACATCCTGTATATAATAGCACTTATTTGAAATTCTGTATTTTGTTTCTATCTTTAATGAAAATTTATATCTAATCCCAAATAGTGATATCCTGCAGTTTAGCAACAGGTTTACATAACACTCTGTATATAATGTAAACATCAATAAAAAATAAGTAGTATTAATTTGCAGCACTAAAAATAATAATAATTAATTTTTTATCATATTTGAAAGTAACGATGTATCGATTCTCTATTTAAAATCTGCTGCGCCATCTATGAAAGAATAGCTCACTACTATTAAATCTAGCATTCAATCAAAGAGGACAACACATTGTGTACATTTTAAAAAAGATTTAAAACGATCATCTCAATAAGGAAAAGTTTAAAAAACGGTTTAAATAACTTAAATAACTCTCTCCATAAGCGATGTATTGATTTTTTAATAATAATTATGTCCATATTATCATTACATACCTTA